TCCTGTTGTGTTTTTTAGAAAATGAAATGAAGAAGAAGAGGGGTCTGTTTAGAGCTCCGCCGCTTTGATCTTTTTTGGAGGGGATGGGATCTGATCTCTTAATGTGATTAGGTCTTCTGATATATGTCCCTAGTTTTTTTTTTAGGAGAAGGGGTATTGGGTCGATGGGTTAGGCCGGTTCGGGTCATGGGTTTGGATATGAGGCTGAATTGGGGTGGAATTTTGGGCTTGGCATCAAATTTGGCCCAATTTAATTTAAAAAACCAGCCTTTTTCAATTTCTTTTTTCTTTTACTCTTTTTCTTTTTTCCTTTAATTGATTAAAAACCTAAATTAAATTCCTAAATTAATTTAAATTATAAAATTCAGATAATTATCTAACTAAAATATTTATAAAAAATTAATTGATCCTAAATTAAAAGATAATCCCAAATTAAAAGCTAAGAATGCAAAAAAATGAGCTATTTTTTGTGATTTTCATTTTTAATAAAGTAATTAATTAATTAATTAATCCTAAAAATATAAATACAAAAATTTAAATGCAATGCATGGTGTTTTTGACATTTTTTATGATTTTTAACAAAATTAAACATGAACAAAAATGCAAACAATCAATAAAATCCTACAAAAATCCTATAAAATGGAAAACAATTGGAAAAATCTGTTTTCTTTGATTTTATAGGAGTATTTCATATAGGGCAAAAATCACATGCTCACAACCGTGGTTCTTGGCCTCTCACTGGCCTTCGCTAATTCGCGCCACTTACGCTCAGCTTAGGAAGAAGTGGCAGCTAACTTTCTGACCCAATCCTCGTGGACAAGCACCACTTGGGGCGCCCAAGCATTGGCTGCCAAAAGAAAGATAGAAGCGTTATGGAATATGAGAGAATATGAATAGGTACAGGGAATACGAACTCCACTTACGGTTAAAGTTCCACCTCTTTGGGAACGACATTTTATTCTCAGGCATCCGTGGTTCTTACTCTAACAAATCGTCTCATCCAACCCCCGATCTTTGGTTTCGTCAGTGCTGGCGAAGAAGGACTTCGATGTTCGGCGTTGCAGCTTGATGAGCCCCCGAAATAATTGGGGCCGATAGAATCGAACCAGGTGGCTGAGGGTGAATTCCAAACCCTCGTCATTTTCAAAAAAATACCGCAACATGATCACGATACACCAAAAGGAAGGGTGAATTTGACCAAGGGTGACTTGGTACGTTCTACAGAAGTCGATCACCACCGGATCGAGGGGACCAAATGTGAAGGGGTAAGTGTAAACACTCAGAAACCCCTCCTTGTGGGTGGTAATGCTTTCATCGGGGTTCGGGATCTAAACCTCAACCTTGTCTCCCCAGCGACATTCCTTCTTCACGTCCTTGGTAAGATGCTTCGTTATCAAGTTAATATATCGAGATACGTGCTCGTGTCGGGCTCGACATCGGGAGGATTCTCGATACGGAAGTCATTCTTAATAATGCAATTACCGGGGGTGATTTCCTCAAGCGTTGGCGGCACCACCGATTTGGCCGGTCGGGCGGTAGAGGAAGATGATGCTTTATCCTTTTTGGGGACCATCTTGGAAGTTTTGGCCATGGTTGTAAGCTAAAGGATGCGGGTGCACAGGGATGTGGTGTTTCCGGCAAGAGCTTGGCGTTTTCCGGCGCTTAAAGAGGCGGAGGAAGCGAGTGATTGAAGAAAGAGATGAAGATGGGAAAGGATTGAAGAAAGGGTAAAGTTCTTTATTTAGAGAAAACGCCTCATATTTATAGAGAGGCAGTGACGGTTCGATGGCATTAGTGGCCGACCAACACTGGCGTGCATTCAATGATTTTGGGGAAGCGGACCGACGGGACGTTTCGGTCACTTTGAATGTTGGCATCACGAGGATGACATCATCACTAAGGACTTCGAGAATCCAAATTGTTTACAAGGATCCCAATTTCAAAGTCTTAAATTGGGCTATGAGTCTGAGTCCGGGCGACTCGAAGTGGAGGTCAGACCCGGTTGAAGGACACACACCTCGAGGAAGCAGATCAAAGGCCTGGCACGACCGACATCGAGGGCAGTACAATCTCGAAGACACTCAAGAAAGAGCAAGAATTTCTCAAGGACACGTGGATCAGGGCATAAATTAAAGGATAAAACTTGTACGAAATGGTACAGGTCCGTACTAGGTTGTTATACACCTGTACCAATAGAATTCTTTACTACAATTAGGAATGTACTAAATTGGAATTTTCTCTTCCTATATAAAGGAGACCCCAATCATTTTGTGAAGGGGATGATTCACTGCAATAGAACATTCTACTCTGCTTTCCTTGTTTAACGTGCTCAACAATTGTTCTTCAGCTTTATTGCTTTTACTTTACTGTTCATACTTTATTGGCCGGAACTGAAATATTGTCTTTTAGGACTCAAAACACTTTTAGTGTAAAAAAAAAGTTACCAAAATATATGAAATACGGTATTAATACCGCGTTTTATATATTTTGGTAACTTTTTTTTTACACTTAAAAAAGTACTTTGAGTCCAAAAAAGACAATATTTCGGTGCCGGACTCCTCTTAGCTCACCTCGAGGTCCCCAAGATCTGTCACGACCCAAAATCTAACGATGGTCGTGATGGCGCCTATCGTGTTACAAGGCAAGCCTACTTCCCAAAATATTACTACTAAATCGATTATAAGAAATTAATAAAACATTTCCAATAATTTAATTCATGATAACTAAACCAACTCTATATATAAATAATATAAAATACGGAAATAGTCCTAAACATCAGGCTGTCACTAAGTCATGAGCGTCTAAAACTATGAACTAAGATATATAAATTGTCTAACTGTCCAAAAGAAGAAATAACAAAAGGAATAACAAGGTCCTGCGGACGCTAGCAGCTACCTTGCAGTCTCCAAAGATAGCCGGCCTGAACTCAACAATCGCTGCGCTCTAACTCACATGGATCTGCACATAAAGTGCAAGGTGTAGTGATAGTAGGCTATATAGTTGATATTTACACCTTAATATGACC